TGAATGGTAATTTATAATCAGTCACAAGAACGTCGAATATGAATCACTTGAAAAAACAACGGGGGTGCTTAACTTTTTTCCTAGGTGTATATATATATACAAACCTAAAAAAAATTATTTCGTTTCACATCCTCCACACGCAAAATTTGATAAGGCTTAGCAACCTACAGCAAACAAGTACAAAGTTTGTAACTAAAAGAGAAAATTGTTTGCCATACTTCTTTATCTACTATTCTATGTTTTAAGAAAAATAAATTTAAGAACTTATTTGTAAATAGTAATAATGTATATGTGTATATAATGTATTATAACTGAAATGTGACTGTATTTTACAAAATATACTAGTCCACTAAAACACAGCTAAGACAGGTTAGTTTTTAAAGGCCAGTTTTATATTCTTGGATATGGTAACAAGAGTGCACATGTACCATGTCATTGCAACTTCTATAATGTTAGCCAGGCATGGCTGAAAGGTCAATATAATAAAAATAATTAATATATAATGTTATAAGGTTTAAGCTATTTAGTCTAAACATTTGTGCTTTCATATTATAGTTGGTAGTCATTCTGGAACAAAAAAAGCATACTTTGTATTTATTTCCTAATTTTTTATGGTGGTTATAAGGTCGGTCAAATCGACCCATCCCATACAGAGATACAGTAGTGAAAATAATGGAAAAAATATAGTTTTTTTCTCGAAAAACATTTGATAATTATCTGGAGGTTATAAAGATTTTCCATGTGAAATTTGAAATTGATGCATAAAAGTATTTTAATCTTAAAGTCAAAATCACTTTGCATGTTGGATAGGCAACATTCGGAAAGAAGAAAGACACGATAAAAACATTATTTAAGGAATCTTAAAACTTAATTTAAAAATCTTATATTTTGTATATGAAAGCCTTATAATGTTTACTAATAATCTACAAAATTGTGTAAGGATATGACTACATTATCAAAACTCATAGTATAATTACTATCATGGATACGAGCTGGGTGGATCCCACCCAGCTTGTATCGGTAGGGTTAAAACAGTTGTATATAATTTCTAAAAAGAAGACAGAAAGAAGTTTTATACATATGACAGAATAAAAGAAATGCTATGTATTTATATTAATCTAACACTTCACATCAGTCATTCTCAACAGGTGGGCTGCAAAATGCACAGTTATTGTGTGCTGCAGGCCTGGACAACTGTGACTGCCCTAAGCTAGTCATCAACTGTATACATTATCCTTTACTACTGTGACAAATAACTAAGTGAGCTTTCAGGTGCAAATTGTGGAGAAACCCTGCTTTCGATAATATCTCATTTCACCATTTCTTTCAGTCATTAGACCTATATAGTATTATTACAAATAAGCAAGTGTGTAAAATGGCTTTCAGGGGGACAGTTACACACATAATGGCATAGTATAGGTAGTGGCCAAAAAATAGAAAAACCACTGTCTCAGGCATCGTTCCAGAATATCCCATACATGCTCGATTGGGTTCAGATCTGGTGACTGAGAAGACCATGATATATGGATAAAGTCAGTGTCGTGTTCCTCAAACCATTGGGTGACTACTCATGTTTTGTGAATGGGGGCAGTGTTATCTTGAAAGACACCCCCTCTCTGCAGGACAGAAATGCTGTAACATGGAGTGAAGATGATCACTCAGTACCATTAAGTAACAATTGGCTTCGACCTTGCATTCTAAGGCATCCAAACCATGCCAGGAAAATGCACTCCACATCATTACAGAACTGCCAGAACTATTCACTGTTGGAACCAAGCGCTCAGGGCTGTTGAATTCTTTAGGTTGGCACCACACCATTTGTCAAGAACATGGTGAAGGATGAGTCATCTGACCATATCACAGTTCTTCACTGCTTGGTAGTTCACAGTCTGTGCTCTTTGCACCATTGGATGCACAAGTGTGCATTGCAAGGTGTGATGAGCAGTTTGTGCACTGCAACTCGACTATAGTATCCCATTCTGTGGAGTTCTTGGCGGACCGTTTTTGATAAAAGTGGCTGCTCTCATCCCAGATTGAAATTTGCAGTCAATTGATCTGCAGTTGTTTGCCTGTTTTGCCTTGCAGTTCGATTTGGTGCATGGACATCACGATCCTGGAGTACTCACTTCCACTCACTGTTGCTCTTTGCTGATGATGTCTTTCCCTCGGAGTTCCATGCTGACATCACCTTAGACACCCCTGCTTGTGAAGTATCAGCAAGTTTAGCTGTCTTGGTCACTGAAGCTCCCACCAAATGCACCCTAATAATCACCCCTATTTCAAAGTCAGCGAGGTTTCCTCTTGCAACGATACTAGCCATGATAATAGGCAACCAGGCCTGTCCAACATTTTTATACATGATCCTACGTATGCTGGGATGTTATTTGCTTAATTAAAGGATGAACCACACCTGTGTGGTAGCCTCTGCATTGCATATACTTGTTGTCCCACATTTACCCATTTTGTAGTCTACTACCTGTAAGTAGCTATGTTACTTAATGGTTTTTATTTTATTACAGATCATAAATTGACCAAAACAATCAAATATATATTTTAAAATGTCCCATTGTTATCATACTGTATGTTTGAAGTGTACATTTCAGATATTGTGATGTTTATGAGTTATTGATTTTTATGAATGCTAATGCATAAGGAGTCAGTATAATGCCACTGGCCTAGTAAGGACTAAATACTTGAGAAAAGTCTTAAGTTTTAGGATTAAATTGCTAAAAAACCACAGAAGGAAATTTGTTTTTCATTTCAAACTAAAACTGCTAGTAATAATGGAAAATAAGTTTTTACCTTAATAGGCCTAAAGGTATCTGTCAGATGTAGGCCTAGGCTACGAAGAAGAACAACTGGTAACAAGTCTGTACTGTACAGTCGGTTTAGTCCATCTATAACACACATGGTTGGCACAATATGACGTTGTCGTTCAGTTTCATATTCCAAAAGCGGTTCCAGTGTCCCTAGCAAAAAACAAGAATATTTCTTAACATACTTATCTTAAAATCAACTACTTTTCTCAGTTCATTGATTTAGTTTTTCTGATATTCATTATTTGCCAGAAGATATACTATATTTTTCACTATCTGTTAGGTCTCGTTATTCCTGTTTTCTTCCAAAAAAAAAAAAGTAAAAATAATAATAAAATGTACTTATAGTTCTTTATTATAAAGAGTTTATAGTATAAATTTACATATTATCAAAACTTCTGGTTTTATCATTTCTACAGTAGTCTTCTAGCTTTTCTAAAGCAGATCACCTCACTGCTGCTTATCATCAATTTTACCTTCTCTATAAAAAGTTTTGGTTGTTTGAGTAAAATTTGTTCTATGACTATATATAAATACATCTAAAAATAATTAAAACGTACATGTTTGCATCACAATCATGGAATTTGTCAAACGTTTAGTAGTTCTTTTTTTTTACACAAATTTATTTGACAACACTGGTGGTTAAAATAACTCATGTTTAGCTACCTGGCATATAAACCATAAACTCAACTTCATAACAGCAAAAACTAATCGAGCCATAAGTATTAAATTCTGTTCTCTATCCAATAGCTTTAACCATAGTTTACATAATTAATACCTATATAAAACAACAACAACAAATTTTAATCATCTGTGTCTTTCTTTTGACCTAACCAACTTTATATCCAGTTTTAGTAGAAGCAACCCTGATTTGCAACACTCTGATAACACCTTGAGATGAAATACTTAACATACTTACCAATATCATTTCCATCATATACAGAATTGACTAGAAGTTTAGCGAGAGCCTGAACATCGCCAAAGCCAAGATTTACACCCTGTCCTGCAAGTGGGTGGATCCTGTGTGCTGCATCACTATCATGAAAGGAAATGCATACTATTGGATAATGAGGAAACTAGTATTACTCTCATGTTTCAAATAATAGTACAGGGTGAAAAAATATTAAGAATTTAAAAATAGTGCAGGGAGGAATAATAGTATGAAACTGAATTTTGTGTTTTTCATTAAAAATAACTGAAAAAATAATCGTGCATACCCAAAAAAGCATCGTGCAGTGTGGAAAATTTCTCCAAAATTAATAATCGTTAGAGTAACTAACCATATCAACAAAAATATTCTAACCAAATTTATTCAAGTATGATCATTTCTGATGATGCCTGAGATTTTAAGTTACATTCAAGATTTTAAACTACAAAATAAATATTCTAATACACTTGGTATCAAAATGTAGTTAATAAATCAACTTTTAATATTATGGTTTAATTTTGAAAGGAAATATTTAAAT